TGATTTCTGATTTAATTCTATCATGATTGAGGGCATATATTATATGATTTCAATCACTTTAAATTTGTTAGACAATCATAGCTCAACATATGGTTGATAATACAGAGAACAACATGCATGATTATCTGTATTCTGCTATTGCTGGGCAATATTATATACATTTATGTCAGATTGTGTTGTTTCATGTTCAAGTCTTTATTTTCTTGCAGATATTCTACCAAGTTGTTCTACCAATTATTGAAAGTTGTGTATTGAGGTTACTATTTTGTTGGCTTTCTCATTTCTCCATTCAGTGTTGCTATTTTTGTTTCATGTATTTTGAAATTTTTAAAAAAGTGCATATATATTTAAAATAGTTATCTTCCCAGTGAATTGCCCCTTATCATTATAACATGTCCTTTTTTGGCCTGTAGTTTTGGTTTCTTTTTTTAAAGTGTCTCATATCTGGTATAATACAGTTACTCCAGCTCTCTTTTGTTTACTATTTGCATAGCACACCTATTCCCATCTTTTCTATTTACTTGTCTTTGCACTGACTGTGTCTTACAGAGAGCACACAGTTGGTCACTATATTTTATTCACTTGTCAATATCTGTTTTTTGATTATTTTATCTATTTGCATTTGTTCTTGATGTCATTACTGGTAAAGCTGGTATTTGTTTATTGTCCATCTTTGTATTTGTTTATTGTCTTATGCTTGTTTATTCCTTAAATCCTCCTTTACTGCCTTTAAAAAATAATAGACATCTTCTAGCAATAATTTTAATTTTCTTTTACTGTATTTTTGAGTTGTTTTCTTATTTTTTGTATCATTAAGATTGGTTTCTTTCCTTCCTCTTTTTGGTACTGGGGATTGAGATCAGGACCTTGCACTGGCCAAGCAAGGCACTGTGTTGCTGAGCTATGTTGTTGGCCCTCTATCATTAAGATTATATTTAATGTTCTAACTTTAAAAAAACTACTTTGGATTCATAAAGCTTGACTTTATTATTATACGAAAGCTTTGCTCCTCTATGTCTCCATTCTTTGAACATTTTATGTTTTTTTTTGTCATGAAAATTATAAAAATACATAATATACATTAAGAATTTAAAAAATACCTTCAGACTTTAGATACATGTAGACAGTCTTAGTTATGATCTCAAAGCATTACTGTGAGTCCTAAATGGTCCAATCCATGCGATGTGATCATAATCACAGTCCCTAGCCCTAGTAAGAACTCAACAAAGATTGTTTTATAAAGTTGGCAAAGTATGTGATAATCACTTGGGCACACTTTCAAATATCTTAAGGGCAGGGAAATTCCCTGCCTAATAGAGTTTTCCCCCTCTATGTGTTAAACACTCTTGTCTTTACATTTCTGTTCATATATTCATCTCATTTTCTACACAATGACATCAGACTTGTTATTCTTCTGGAACACATAGAAGAAATTTTTTCAGTTCCTTCTACCTGGAAATCCTTCATTTGGCATGTGTAAATCTCTTGTTCTGAACTTTATAGTACGCACTTCTTTAGCTCTTTTTCAATGGACATGGTCCTTAGAATTCTTATGATTTTTAAAATATTTATTACAGTTTTCAATGTTTCCCATAAACTCGAAACCTAAAACTAGTCTTATCAAGACTCTGTTTAAATTAAATTAGAAAATGTTTATAAGATTTCATGGCCACTCAATTCCATTTATAATGATGTAAAAAAGGCAACTTTATAGCATCCTTTATTCTGTTAACCTTTCAAACTCCATATACTTGTTCTTTTCCTGCCCCCAATTCATCCCCATTTAGAATCCTCACTGAATATTGAAAAAGTGACATTCATATTATGCATTCATATTAGAAAAGAGTCTGTACTTCATTAATGTGAGAACATTATTAGTTACTTCCTGCTTTTGCATTTATTATTTGTATTAGTCTTGTTTCAGTTATTATTTTTCACTGTTGTGGATTTTAAGAATGCAAAATATACCTCCCAATTTTATTTTTAGCTGTGAAAAGCTTTGCTGAAAATCCTCCAATGCCCATCTCTCTACCTATACAAAAGGTGATGATACTTTTTCAATTTTTAGTTATTATTATTACAGTCTGCAATTTGTAATGAGTACGTTCCTCCTGGGGAATTGGTATATGAATATAACATGTCTTAATTACTATCTTCATCCCTTTCCCCACCTCTCCCTTTCCTCTGCCTCCATCTCTTGGTCCACTTTCCATTTCTAAAAGATCTATATCCCTATTTCCGTATGTATAAGGAGTCAAAACTTGTAGAGTATCATCGACAAGTAAAATTGCCTCTCCTGATTTTTGCTTATACCTTCTGTACCACACCATCTCCATGGTTTATGGGATTACTAGAATCTTAGAAATTCAACCAGATTGGTGCCTTTGCCCACATGGCAACAAACTGCAGAGACCCAAGGGGTCTGATGCTTTTATGAAAATGAAAGTAGGGCCAGGGATGTAGCTCAGCGGCACAAGCGCCTGCCTAGCAAGCACAAGGTCCTGAAAAAAAAAAAAAAAAAAGGAAAGTAAATGCTCCTAAAAATCACACATCTTCAGAAAATGGTGAGGGAAGCCTACACTTTAGAATTACCAAGGAGTAATTTTTGTTGTTGTTGTTTTTACCAAATCTAAAAATCATCGAGGTCAGTGATCATCTTAGAGTCTCCAGAGGTTAAACAATTGTCTAGCCTAAGATGCATGCTTAAAGAAGTGATTGCTGAGTATCTTAATCACTTTCCCATAACTGGGCCAGAATTCTCAACACCTACAATTTGAAGGAGAGGTTTATTTTGGCAAATGCTTTCTGCTCATAGTTGGTCTGCTGCATGGCAGAAAGGGGATGGCAGAAAGGCATGGCAGAAGAAAAGGGGCTCAATCCAGGGTTATCAGAAAGCAGAGAAAGAGAGGAGCTGGTGACAAGAATCCCCTTCCAGCTCACACCTCCAGTGACCCACCTCCAAACAGGCGCCACCTCCTCACTGAACATTTAACTACTAGCTTGTGGAAGGGTGAATCCATAGATGAGCGTGTGCCTGGATGATCCAGTCACCTTCCACACACATGAGAGATCGGGGGACACTTTAGACTTGAACCATAACATTGACTGAACCAAGGATGAGCTATGAGAAAAAAGAATAAAACCTAAAACAAGTGCAAGAATAAAGGAGGAATTTGAGATTATTTTGTGAAAGATTGCATAACAATTTTAATTGTCCTCATTTAATTAGAGGCAGGGTGATATCAACAAAGAGCAGTCTTTGTTTTTAAAACAGGCTTGCCTTCAGCCACTGGAACATTGACATAGTAATATCGTATTCCTAAAAACGAGTAATGCCCATCTCCCAGACAAGCCCTCGTAGTCCTTAACTTTGAAAATCCTACACAACAGCATTTCAAATTTATGATTTAATTGGAACTTAAAGGAATCATTCTGTATCATAACATACTGCTGCTTTTTATAATTATAAGGCTGGAATTTCAAGTGAGTACAGTTTTGAGGCAAGCAGACTATAATAACCAAAATGAGACCAAACTAACATATATATCTCCCATGTGGTGAGACTCCTAATGCGTTGAGTTTTCAGGAGTACTTCCTTAGTGAGATCTAGGGTCATCCTACTCTGACACTGACAAGAGTTTGGGAGGTCTACCACTGGTGGGTCACCACATGGACAGAAAGAAGACTAAGTAGAGCATTACTCCTTTTTAGGAATACTATGTTACTATGTCAATGATCAAGCTAAGAATCTGATCCTGTTTGTAGTAATCAAGGAGTTTCTTTGTTTCTGACTTTTTTTTTGGTTCCGGGAATCGAACTCATGACCTCAGGCCTGCCAGGCAAGTGAGGTCACTTATGCCACTGAGCTATATCCCCAGCCCTCAAGGAGTTTCTTTGTGATTTTTAAGATAGCAAAAGAAATCCTACATTGTGTTATGAAATAAAATCTATTTGCAAGCAGTAAGTATCATCTGTACATCATAAGAGTTTGGATAAAATTTCTAATTTATTTTATTGAGACAAAAGCTGTTTTTCCAAATTTGTTTGTTCTTTGTGTTCTCTTGATTCACCTCTGCATCACGGTCCCACCTTGCTCACTGCAAAGTTACATTTGTGTGCCTGGCTTCTAATTCTCTGACTCTCCTGATGGACTTGCTTGAAGTAGCGCCTTTAACATTCAGTTGTTAGTGGCGATTGATTTCTTCTGTAAGCCTGTTAGAATTGCAGCTGTTTGTTTTATGTATTATAAAAATGAATTTCTTCCCTTTGATCCCATGACAGCCTCTTTTTCTTAGCCCAGATGAGTTTGATTTTTGCTGTACTGCCCTTGAGATGGGGGTTTTGAACATTTTACAGGAAAAATATCGTCCTTGCTGTTGTTCAAGCTGCAAATGCATTCCTTTTTTATTAGAATTACTTCATTTATTAATACCATCAAGTAACTACTATCCTAAATACAGCAGATCAGGTGACACTTCTATGAAAATGTTTCATAATCAGTATTGCAAATGTTATACTCACCTTGAGAAAACTGTGATAGGCAAGAGTAAACTGACTGATACAACCCCCAAATCTCAGTCAGTGCAAGTAGTAATTCTACCTCTCTTGACTGAGAGCCTGTGCTTATTTTGGTCATTTAGAGATACAGGCTAACAAAGGGTCCATTTCAACTGTGTTTCCATGATTACCAAGTTAGGAAGGAAACATGCCAAATTGCACACTGACACTGAAAGTTTCTACTATAAAGTACTGCATGACACCTCTACTCATATTTCTTGGTGAAAACCCTGGTCTGGCCACAGCTCATGTAGAAGGACAAGGAAGTAAGATCTGTTATTTGTCTGGATAGAGAGGAACCAGACAACAAAAGTTACACCTTTTATAGCAGACAAGGCCTTTGGAGTCTATTGAGAGTGAACACACATTCAAGATTATCCAATCTTATTGTCAGCAATGGTGACAAAAATAGGACCTTGAATGACAATTTATCATGGCTTAAGTCACACAGCCCTCACCTGGAATGAACTTGATAAATGATTGGACCCACATAGCCACATAAGAAGCGAAGGGGCAACTGAAAGGCAAAGAACTCAGCTGAAACGATGGCTTGAGAAAGCAGTGCTGCTCTTCAGACAATGTTTGTTGACTACAGCTTGCTGTGAAAACAGTGGCAGACAGACGGGCTTGCACACTGTACCTGAGGGCGACTGGATCTTTCAGAGCAAAGCTGAACTGTGCATAGTCCTCAAAGAGAAAGGTAAGATACTGCAAAGTCTGTAAAAGGAAAGCAGAGGGCACCATATGACCTTCGATGAGTCTCTTCTTTCCATGGACCCCTCCGACCCCTCATAGTCATCGCCAGCATTTTCTTGCAGGAAAAGGCAGACTATTTAAATCCTCTTTTGTATGTTGCTAGGAGTATATATTCCTTATACCAATACACTATTAGAGGACATAATGTAAAATAAATGTAACCTTAATTAAAATGTTCTCCTATTTCTAATTCCGTGGTCAAATGTAAAATTAATGGTCCTTTTCTGTCACTTTGGATGATTTTTGGACTCTTTCCAAACCATTCCTTTTATTTATTTATTTATGTATTTATTTATTTTGGCGAGTATGGGATGATGATGAATCAGATTAGACTTGCCAAAGTAAAAACGTTTACATTTCTCAAGTTCCCCTCTGTATTGAATGTGACACCCTCGCTCTGTAATATATTCAGGTGGAATTGAATTTAAACTTCAAATGTGTTTATTTTTACATTCATTACACAAGCTTTAAAGGAAATTTGGCATCTGAATGAATGCATTTTCACTCACTAAAATGCAACAAAAAGTATTCCTAAAGCTGTTACCTTTGCTGATTGATTTGAAATTGCACATTTCAGAAGATAAGTTTGTTTCAAATTTATGCTATCAGTGGACCTTTTTCAGAAATAACCAGTTGAACTTTGCCAAGAATTAAGGCTTCTTAATGTAATCCCTTACTGATTACTACTTTTACATGCGTTTGAGTGTTTATAGAAATTGGAGACTTTTTTAATGGTGCAAATGTTGTTTATATAAAAGTGCAGGCATTATAATACATGCAAGTCTATCATTAATATCACGTTTATTAGTGTTTAAAATCCTCTGGCATTTTGCTGATTTTTCTAACAATTTTTAATGGAGCAATAGTTATATCTACATGTATGCAAGTATCAATTGGGGATACTGGGAGGTCTGCTTTTCTTTAGTCAGAAATTCTGTTAGTTTTTGCATGTTAATACAAAAGTTCATTATTTTAGATGTAGCAATTTTGTAACACTTAACTGTAAAATGATTCCAGCCAGTGTATTTAAGAGTTCTCAATATAAGTTTTCTCTGTTCTCTTAGAAGCAACTTTGAGCTGTCTTTTAGTTATCTATTGCTATGGTAGAAACAACCTCAACACTTCATGGCTTGAAACAACTGTTACTGCTCATGATTCTGTGGGTCAGGAATTCAGGCAGAGCTCCGGGGTGACAGCTTTTCTCTGTTTTCCTGGTACCACCTGAGGTGATTCCCATGGGGCAGAAGACTCACAGTGGCCTCCCTCACATATTTGGGGCTTAGTACTAAATGCTGGCAGAATATCTTGGTTCTCTTCCAAGGGTCTTATCTTTTTTTATGTGTTCTCTTGTCAGTGACTTGCCTTGATGGAGTTTCTTTAATTAAAAGGGGAATTTTGAAGGACCAAAAGAAAAAGTCATAAGGCTTCTGAAGACACAGGCTCATAATGGAACATAGTTACATCCACCGCAATCTATTGATCAAGCAAATCATGAGGATATCCTAAATTCAAGGAGAGGAGAAGTGGATTTTACTCCTCAGTGGGGGAGTTGCACAGTCATGAGGTCTTGTGGGGAAAGGGGTTACTGCAGTTTTTTGTTTTTTTTGAGGGGTAATATATGACCAACTCAGCTGAATGAATTGCATTTTTAAGAATATTACTTACTATGTGCTCTTTTGCCCAAATTGTAACCCTGATTTTAGCAGTTGATAGTATGAAATTCTGTGTTTTTATATTTCTCTTTGGGAACTACTGAATTTGTCAGTACATTGAAGTGAGTGGTTCACCATCCTGTCTTTTAGAGCTTTATAGCTGGTGTGGGTTGGAGGATACCCCCAAGTGGATGAATATGGAAGCACTATCAGCAATATCAGAAGCATCTGTTCTTCAAATATCTCTTGACTATTCACTACGGTTAAGTTCATTTGGAGACAGTTACATGAATAATGATGAGTAAAAAAAGGGATTTATTATAGGATGTTTGATGTATTTGTCACAAATCTTTGCTCCTTTGTAATGATCCATAGGTATCCATAGGTCATGTGCCCATAGGTCAGTCATGGGCTTGTAGGAGTGGAGGACATTTCTGTACATTTTTGAAGTTGGGCTTGCCCAGGTGATTTGATTTTGCCAAAAGAATATCCGCCATCTTGATGGGAACAATAGCATGAAATGTGCTTGTGCAGTGGGGTTTGATTTACTTATTTCTCTCCGTCCCCAGCGTAAAAATCAGGTCTCAGAAGTAGCACACATGTAGATATAGGCAAGGAGTCAAGTCCAGATTGAGACACGGATTAAAGAACCAGGGCTATACAATCAGTTTAGATTGGCTGTCAGGTTATTTTTCTACCTATAGACAAGTAACGGTCTGTCTTGTGCAAACAAAAGACATCAGTAGGTAATTATACTGTAATGCAGTATACGTAGCATAGAAGTGTCCTTACCCTATTTTGTTGGATCCTGTGTATGTGTGATTTACAGTGGAGCAGTGAGGAGATGCTATAGAAGGAGCTGACACAAAGCTGCATCTTAAAGAATAAATGAAGGATGTGTAAGAGTTTACAAAGGAGGGACAAGTAGTGTTATGAGCCAAAACTCAGAATAAGCAAAGGAATAGGGGTAAGGGCCAATGTGACATGGAGAAAATCATATAAGCAGTTCATTGTTCTTGGAATTGAATGAATGGGCCAGCCCTTATCAAGAAATGCAAACCTTTAAATTGAATTTGCAATAGATTCTCATTCCAAGAGATTTCTAAGTTGATAGTAAGTAAGATTGACACAAACTTTGTTGCTCCAGCTCAGCTTTTTAGAGTACATGCTGTACTAAAATTTATATGAGTACAGATAGTTTCATTGTTTCTGGCTTTACAAATAATTAAATTTTAAAAAGCCAAATAATTAAATTATATTTCAATCAAATATTTCAACTGTGTAGCTGCAAAAGCTATAGATAATAATTGTAATCATGCTTTAAAAGAGAAAAATGGCTAATTGAAAATTAACACGAAGTAATATTATACTGCATGGTATTTTATATAAAAATTCCAGGTGGTCCTCCTCTCAAGTACTAGCTGTACTTCTGAAAAAGTTTGTAAATCAAATTGTATTAGGGATCATTATAAAAATATCCCAATAGGGAAAATTTTTAGAACTATAGATATATGTTTATTTCATAATTTTCAATTTTTAAAAGAGAAACAAGTCTTACATTTATGCAGTTATAAATTCAGTGTTAATTTCTATTTTAATCTGAATTTTAGAACTACAAAAGCCTTTTAACATCTTGTGCTCCTAATTTAGACCTTAATTACACTTTATTAGCTATGAGAGCTTGGGCAAATGTCTAAATCTCTCTGTACCTCACTATCTTCATTAATAAAATGGGGAAATAATTATTACCATATATTGAGCTCTTGTGGTGATTAAATGAAATCATATATGGAAAAGTGCCCAACTTACTCGGCATGACATATGGCAAGCACCAAATAAATGTTAGTTATTTACGGTTTTTTTCTAATAACAGTAGTAGCATAATTATTAATTACTATTGCTACTTATCTTAAAGACAGGAGGCATGGAAAGTAAAGGACTTGGGCTCAGCAGTTTTGGAATTTGCAAAAGATTTTGGTCCTTGAATTTCATACCAGTGCTCTTTCCTGCACAAGGCTATCCCTCTCCCTGAATTTTCAAGAAGTTCATGATGAGAGCAAAAAGCAAGTCTGGAAACCACTGTACCCACCAACTGCTTTGAAACAAGACACAAATTACCAAATGGAAATATAAAAAAAAGGGGTATGCAACTGTTGCCAAATATAAACACAATTTTTAAAATTTCAAATGACTGTGTTAGGGTGAAAGGTTTTCTCCCCCTGGGAATTCCCCACTTGTGATAAGCAATTTTGCTTGGTCGTTCAGAGTTCGTGGCCAAATTCCAACACAAGCTGTAGAAAGTTTTCATAAAAAATGAACAGACCACTTACATTAAACAAGAAGGCTGCTATTTAGTTTAGAAAGCAGAACTGATGGCCCTTTCAATTTTATCCCAATGACTGCAAACAGCCCTACTTCAATTTCATTACAAGGTAAAAGTAGAAAAGCTAAACATTAAATCTCACAAAGAAATATAATTTGATTTCATGTCATTAGAAGCCAGTGAAAAGTAGAGAAGGATATGGAGTTGGCTTAACTGCTTCCTTGCTAAATAAAACATCCGCCCTGAAGTTGTGCACCTCCGTGCTCCCAGCTGTCCCTGTTGAGGATAACTTTGACTCATTAGCTCATTCACTTCATGGGAGCCCATCTGAGGGTCACACATGTATCCTATTAGCAACAATGAATTAATGGGTGAACGTGTAGTAACGTGATAGCAAAATTCAGTAAAAATTCTATTTGAACTTAATTCTGTGGGATATGAACATAACTCACAAAGGAGTACTCTGATCTACAGTGTGGAATAATTTGCCTACTGCTCTTGGTTTGTGATTAATGAAAAGTCCTCAGGAAATCCCAATTTCTGATTAAAGAGAGTTGATTATGATTAATGTATCCAAATTAACTGCTCCCAAAAAAAGGCACTTCATAATGATCTGTGTTGTTCTTCCAACTTTTAAATTCTTGAGGCTACTTTCTTATCTGTGGTCTTTTCTCTAATCACCGATGCTGTATACTTGGTTTTAAAGTTTTGGGTTTTGGTTAGTAAGACAATAGTCCTTTATTCCTGCATGTAGAAAATATTCGAGGTTTCAGGAATTTTCTGCTCTCTCTTCTCTAATTTTCTGTAAAAAAATAGTGTCACTTACTGGTATTTCCAGAACTTGCTATAAAACTAGAATATCAAGTTCAATTGTACCTGATCTAATCTCACAAGCTAAACCTCAGACCAGACCATTTACTTTCAGCCATTATACCGTGCTGTTTCCCATGGTGCATAGGTAAAGTTTGT